CGGCCCCACCCCTAACGCTTCTGTGGTGGGGCAGACAGCTGCTGTTCTTCCAACCCTAATAGGGCTGAAACCACCCGGGGACTCCGCTCCAGGGCTACGTCTACACTGGCATGATTTTCCGGAAACGCTTTTAACGGAAAAGTTTTCCGTTAAAAGCATTTTTGGAAAAGCGTGTCTAGATTGGCAGGACGCTTTTCCGCAAAAGCACTTTTTGCAGAAAAGCATCCATGGCCAATCTAGACGTGCTTTTCTGCAAAAAAGCCCCAATCGCCATTTTCGCGATCGGGGCTTTTTTGCAGAAAACAAATCTGTGCTGTCTACACTGACCCTTTTGTGCAAAAGTTTTTCGGAAAAAGACTTTTGCCCGAACGGGAGCAGCATAGTATTTCCGCAAAAGCACTGACAATCTTACATGACATTGTCAGTACTTTTGCAGAAATTCAAGCGGCCAGGGTAGACAGCTGGCAAGTTTTTCCGCAAAAGCAGATGATTTTGCGGAGAAACTTGCCAGTCTAGACACAGCCCAGTGGTTTGGGCACCTCTGCTCTGGTGGGCCTAAGGAGGCGGCTGGCTGGCTGTTTTGGGAGCCCCACAGTGGGCAGCCAAATGTATTCTGAACCTGCGTCTTCAGATTTATGCACTTTGAGTGTGCCTCTGCAGTGCAATGTAAGCCCAATTTTAGTACAACTTTGAGTTAGCAGACTCTGGATTTGTTAATTTAGGGCTTTAGCATCTATGCTTACTTATAATCCCAGTTCAGGAATTAACGAACACTGGGTCTCAGCCTGGGGCTTCGGAATCTACACTGCATTATGTGAGCCCAAGTCCAATCACCTGGTCCAGACATCCTAACGGTACCTTAAAATGTGTCAACTCCTAGCCCTCTGCTTGTGGTACAATGTGGGAAAACATGATTGCCCAGTAAATTTGACTCTCCAGGGGACAAATAAATCCTGTGAGATGGTGGAACACTTCTAGTTGGGCATGTGTGCACTGTAAAGAGTAATAGGGATTTAACCCTGGTTCAACTCAGCCTTAGACCATTGGAGCCCTGGGTTTGGCACCTACCCTCCCCCAAAGTTTCATATGATACCTCCCAACTTGCTCATCAGGATGGAGACTGATTTGGGAGAGTTCCTTCCCACCCTCTCCTCACCTGGTCTTGCTGAGCTGGGGTGGAAGAAGAGAGAGCCTGCTGCATCTTGCCGCTGTACTGAGCAAGTGCTTCGGTTAGAGGCAGTGTGCTGGCATACTCAGTCTTCCGTATGCATGCCCCCAGCACTCCCCCTCTCCCTCAGACGCTAGTGGGGTGGTGGTATATCCTGGTACTGTATGTTGAAAGATGCAGTGTACATGTATTCTCTAACTTTTTTTTTTCTTTCAAAGTTGTGTGTGTGTGTTTTTAAAGAATTACAGTGCTATTATTTTAGTGTTTTGACTTGTCTGTCCATTTCATAGCTTTATTTCTTTCTTATGCCTACATTTAATTCTTTGAGTAGTGAGCCCTAAAATGCCAGACCTGTCCTGGCTGGAGTAATTATTATTACTTTTATTACCATATTGAGTTTTGTCAATCATTATTGAAAGGGACATAGTCAAATGTTATCTTTTTCGAGAATGTAAATGTAACTTGTACTCACCATAGCAGTGCCAGTTTAAAAAACTGCATATAGACACTGTTCAGCTGAAGCTCACTTATAACTAAAAATTCTATTTAGAAATATCTAACATATTTGTATGAAAATAAATGGTGCTCCAAGTCTGTTACTTTATACACTACCTTTAGTAGGTAGTAGAGATATTATCAAACTTACGTTCTGATATCTGTGTGTGGCTGCAGACCTGATACCTCAAGACTTTGGGTTTCTTGTATTGTCTCTTCATTGTTCTGAATTTACATATAAACTTAAAATATGGCTTTAATTGGGGTTTGTATTTTTTCTTTACAAAAATTAGGTACAGTACTCAGCTATCTGCAAAACCCTAGAGCTGTCAGTTGTTCTTGAATCATGGGTAAAGTTGCTGCTCTCCCATCTCCTTACGCCCCTCCTCCCTCCGTGAAATGGCACCCCTGCCCTGGGTTTGCATGATTTGTATGTAGATGGAAGGTGCATTAGACTTGAGCCAGCGTTGAACCTTGGGCTTTAGTTGTGTGTCTACATTGTAATTTGACACTATCCTAGCCCATTTTTATATTGCTTTCTCAATAATAGGAGCTATAGGGTAGTGTTTCTTTCTCAGACTTGGTGAAAGATGATTAAAATCCACCCAACGTAATTCTTTTTTCCTCTACAATATCCAAATTGTCTGTTAATATGGAGGGTTCTTCCAATGTACTTCTCAAAACTAATAAATCTCCTGTCCAACTGCCAAAGCAGGCTGCTACTTTCTCTCCCCTTTGCTAACAGCATTATTACAGGTTGCCTGGATACATACTCAAGGAGGATATTTTTGCTAGCAGCTTGGCTATTTTGTGGATGATAAATCATTCTCTGTTAAAGTGTTTAAATAATGGTCTGTGCCTTAGGTGGTTAATGGAACTAATCTTGATAAAATTAAATTTCTTATTTCTAGGCAATCTTGGCAGCGCAGAGAAGAGGAGAAGATGTAGAGACCTCCAAGAAATGTAGGTGTTTCTTTCTGGGGAGTGGAGAAGGGAATGTGGGTTTCATGTTTTCCTTTAACTTCCTTGTAATCCTGAAGCACTCTTGGCTTTTGTGCTCCTTGCACTGTGTAGAGTGGGCCCTTGCAATGGGCATAAACATCATTCACTCCTAAATCAAAGCCCCTTTCTGTTTATTTAATTGTATAGAAAGCACTTGGCGCAAATGAGAATCTGGTTCTGTATCTTTTTAAAAAATATACTTGCTTTTCATATTAATTTATGTATTATCTTTTTATTTGCATTTACAAAACTCTAAAAATAGATAAAGCCCTTTTTTGAGAAACTGCACCAAAAATCTAATTGGAGCTAAGATTCTTCAGTCTAAAAGCAGTCTGGAGCAAAATATCTACGCCTAAAAGCTAGATCCTAGGATCTAGTGGCTGAGATACAAAACATTACTGCTGTGGTTAAAGGTTCTGTAACAGCTTTGTGTATTGAAGCTAAAAATCATACATATTTCCATAAACTTTCAAAATACAAAAAACAGCTACTGTACTAGTTTGAAATTATTAAATTGTTTCAGATGTTGGGACTCTTACAGCATACCATGTTAAGAGCCTGCGTATTTAAAGTGCTTAAACATTTACATAAGGCAGGCTTTAAAGAGTGTAAATATGTATTTACAATGGACAGTGTAATGGTACTGTTTTGTCTATATTTTTTGGTGGATTTCACCATAAAACTTTAAAGAAAATAACAAATATTTAAAACATTTTAACTTGAACAGTCCTGGTTTTTGCAGAGATCTCAGGTTGGATTATGACACTACATATTATATGTGCTGCAATAGTTAAGGATAATGGGGCAAGCTTAAGAAAAGAATAGGAAGAAGTTAGGAATAGTGAATGCTGATTTTTAAATTGCGCATTTCCTTTTAAGATGTTGATTGTAATAACGTAATATTGAAAGAATAAACTCACCTCTAGCTTAGTAAAGTATTCTCTTCTAATAAAGTTAGCTATATGTAATTATCAGGTCAGACTAAGAATCATAGAACCATTGAGCTGGAAAAGACCTCAGAAGGTCATCAAGTCCAGCCCCCTGCTCTAGGCAGGACCAATCCCAACTAAATCAACCCAGCCAGGGCTTTGTCAAGCTGAGACTTAAAAAGCAAATATAAGTTAAAGTGGAAATAAAGCAGTAAGGGGGATTCAAGTGTAGTCAGTTACTTTTTGTCAAGGTGCACATTTCTTGGCCATGCTATAGCAGAGATCCAGACTCCAGAGAGACACTTTTTTCACAACTCAGGCACTCCTGTTCAACACACACAATGCTGTGCATTAGTAATATAACCAGGGCTTGTTGCTTATATTGTTAGTGCATTAAATGAAATCAAACCACTGTATAACCTAAAAACATCCAAGAAAGATGTAATAAATTCAATCTGAGATTGAGAAACTATATAGCTAGAATGCAAATATTAGCATTAAAACACTTTCAAACAACTTTTTTTTGTTTTTGGATTTTGTTTTGAGTTTACAAAGTATTAAATTTGCTTTTGTCAAAAGTTGTAGGCATGTACAGTAAAACTCCATTAGTCCGGCATCCAATGCTCCGGGACTCCTGATGGTCTGGCACCATCAGGAACCCGGAAGTGCTGGGGCAGCCGGACAGGCTTCCCCCATTCAGCTGCTGCTGAAACTGACCAGCAGCTGAAT